CCAGCTGTGGCACCTCAGCGTGATGCTTTCCCCCTCCTGGAACTCCAGGTGAGGGGTCTGGAGCAGCAGCCAATCTGAAAGACACAAGAAGACTCACAATGGTTGGCTAATTTTCTATTTTTAGTACAGAGAGGGTTTCTTCTTACTCAGGCTGGTCTCAAACTCCTGAGCTCAAACAATCCTCCTGCCTCCCAGACTGCTGAGGATTACAGGCATGAGCCACCAGGCCTGGCCTAAAGTCAATATTCTGATCTTGGTTGTGCTGTTGACTGCTGAGCTCTTGGGTCTCGTTGGCTTCATTTCTTGAGACAGAGTCTCATTATGTCACCCTCTGTAGAGTGTCATGGCGTCACAGCTCACAGCAACCTCCAACTCTTGGGCTTAAGCGATTCTCTTGCCTCAGCCTCCCAAATAGCTGGGACTATAGGTACCTGCCACAACGCCCAACTATTTTTGTTGTTGTTGTTGTTGTTGCAGTTGTCATTGTTGTTTAGCAGGCCTGGTTCTGAGTTTGAACTCACCAGCCCTGGTGTATGTGGCCCATGCCCTAACCACTGAACGACGAGCACTGAACCAGTTTCATTTCTTTATACAATGGATGGATGGGACTAGGCGGTTTCTCTCTAATGTAAACTAAAAATAAAATCCTAAGCCACCCAATAGTCTGAACAGAGTCCCAGTAGGCTAAGGAGACTCCAGAGAAATCTTGAAAACTGAGTCCCAATGAAAACACCACACTGTACCCCCAAAGTGCATCAATGTACACAGTTACCATTCAATAAAAAAAAAAAAAAAGAAAGAAAACTGAGTCCCAGCCATGATGGGATTGGAGGTCAGACATACCTCATTATACTGTTGCCCTTTCGTGGTTTATAAACTAGAACTGACCAAAGTTAGTATTAAAACAGAGATTGTATGACTGACAGAACACTCACTGTGGCAATAAGACAACAAATTGTAAACAAGAACTAAGGCTATGCCAGGCTATTACCTAAGATTTGACACTTGTCCTCTGAAGCCCCATCAGAAAAAGAGAGAAAAGCAAGAGAAGTTTATTACTTTGCTGGTAAAGAAGGAAAATTGAAGACAATGGTCTCAAACTCCAAATTCCTGATTCTGAGCAGAAGCACAGAACTTTTAAGGGTTCTGATCACATAATCCTATCCTGGGCCAAGATAATCTCAAGGCCTCTGCCCAAATTTATCCTATTTTTGGCTAATACAGTTTTTGTTTGTTTGTTTGTTTTAGACAGAGTCTCACTTTGTCACCCTCAGTAGAGTGCTATGGTGCCACAGATCACAGCAACCTCCAACTCTTGGGCTTGTGATTCTCTTGCCTCAGCCTCCTGAGTAGCTGGGACTACAGGCACCTGCCACAACACCCAGCTATTCCTTGTTACAGTCTGGCTGGGGCCAGGTTCGAACCTGCCACCCTTGGTATCTGGGGCTGGCGCCCTACTCACTGAGCCATAGGCACTGCCCAGCTAATAAAGTTTTAAACCTCCACCCAGAACCCAGAATGGAAGAGTAAAATGGCCAGAACCAGTCTGGTCTCCATTCCATCTTCAGTGAAGAGACTCTCTGGAATAACACCCATCCCATAATCAGCTGAGATCTTGTGACCTCCACCCACACAATTCCCTTATGGTACAAAGAACAGGAGATATTCCCTGCCCCTCCCAGCCACTGGCCTGAGGCAAGGATGCAAGTTACAGTTCCCCAAAAGTTGAGGAAACAGAAAATATTTTTGCCATTTTTTTCTCCAGGCCATTCCCTCTGCAACAAGGCAAGTGTTAAATCATACACCCCCATGCTTAAAGAATAAACTATGGCGGCTCAGCGCCTGTAGCTCCATGGCTAGGGCACTAGCCTCATACACCAGAGCTGGTGAGTTCAAATCCAGCCCAGGCCCACCAAACAATAATGACAACTACAACCAAAAAATAGCTGGGCATTGTGGTGGGCACCTGTAGTCCCAGCTACTTGGGAAGCTGAGGCAAGAGAATCGCTTAAGCCCAAGAGTTGGAGGTTGCTGTGAGCTTTGATGCCATGGCACTCTACCCAGGGCAACAGATTGAGACTGTCTAAAAAAAAAGAAACTATGGCCTAAGTGCCATAAGGTTTTCTTTTTCCCCAAAAAGTTGGGGCAACAAAATGTTTTTGCCATTTTCCCCCCCAGGCCATTCCCTCTGCAACAAGGCAAGTGTTCAGTCACACACCCCCACACTTAAAGAAAAGAATAAACTAAGGCATAAGTGCCAGAAAGTTTTCTTTTTCGGTGTCAGCTAGACAAGCGCTGGTCTTGAGATAGCAATATTAAAACAACTGTAGCTTGTCCATGGCCAGAAGATGATCCACCCCCATTTCCACAAGCTACAACTACAGGTTTGACTGGACAAGAGACTGATTTCAGTAACGTTCTTACAATATGAGACCACGGACCCACAGACTGGTTCTGGCCATTTTATACTTCCGTGCATTCATGTCCCTGCCTCATCTTTTGATGTAATACATTTAAATTTAATTATTCATCCCAAAGTGAACATAGAATGCAAGTAGCATGCATGTTTTCTTATCACAGGTGTGCATGACCCCCCTCCTGAATGAATGTTCATAGCTCCCATTGCAGCCTGTTGAATATGTATGTTTAGCCATCCTGTTCACCATAAAGTTCCTGCACCACCCCTCCTCCTTCAAATTACCTTTCTCAGTGCTCAGCCAGGGGCTGTGCTTCCCTGCCTGTGAGAATGGCAGCCTTATAGGCTTGTAACCCTTTAGAAGAAGTAAAGCTCCCCTTTTCAAATTTGTAAATTATGTGATTTTTAAGTTAACTCTAACAAATCTTCAGATCTTAGTTGTTATGATCTGTATTTTTACATTTTCTTAGGGAAAGTCAGAAGTGCCATCAGCTGTTTCTGGGAAGCCACGACACAAAGACAGGAGAAAGGGAGCTGTGATGTCACTAGGCCAGTTTCTGAGGTGAACTCATCATCTTTCCCCTTCAGTAGAGTACCATAACAGAAAGTGACTTCACTGCCAGGATTGTCTGGTACAGGGCCCTTAAAATGCCACTAAACAAATCCCCTTCCTGGTGTTAAACAGGGGAATCTAAAGCACTGGATGTTTACCTGTGACCATCTTCAGGGTTTATGCACCAAATGAACTATGGGAGAAAGCTGCTCATATTTTCAGACATCAGAGAGGGCTAGAAACGGTATCTAGGGGTATTTGCTACGTAGAATCTATTAACGGAACACTGTCGGATATTTACCTAAACCTAAATCAAATGAAGCAACTCTTTTCATTAAAACTATCTAATGAATTTTCATCTCAAGGAGAATAAAAGTCAAAGTCACTGCAACAGCCTACCAGCCTCTCTTGATCTATCCTTTCCCCTCCCCTATCACCTCTGCCCTCATCTCCGAGATCGGATTCTGCACTCCATTGGAATGACGTCCTCATATTTGTCAGGCAAGCTCCCACCTTAGGGCCTTTGCGGGTCTGTTTGCTCCAAACTTTGTGATTCACTAGGCTGCCATCAGAGACAGTGGTTTTACAGAATAGGGATTTCCTTCCGCTTCTCTCACACTCAGCTGCCTGTTCGAGTCCTTGCAACCTTCTTGCTCAACCAAGTACTGAGACAAAAACAACCTAAAACATATTGAGGAAATTATTAGAAATTTCCAAATTTCCACCAGACACACTAAGCAAAAGGGGGTGGTTGAAACAGGAAATGAGTGAGAGACTCACAGCAGTGCTTCTCGGTAAACAGGCCACCCCCCTTCCCTGCAAACCTGTGCAGTGTAAGCTAATTTCATCTCTCTTGGTCCTCCCAGATCCTCCCCAGGGCCTTCCTCCACTGACCGGAAAACACGTCCAAATGCACAGGGTCGCTGAGGCTGGTCTGGCCTGTCTGGCACCTGTACTCCCCGCTGTCATTTTGCATGGCCTTGAACCTGTAGCTGGGCTGGGCCTGGGTGGGAAGGGAGTTCCCATTGTAGAACCACTGGGTGCGGTAGTCCTCGGGGGCGTGGGCCCCCCAGCACGTCAGAGTCACCAAATCCTCCTGGAGCACGTTGATCCACGGGGGCTCAAGTTTCACCACAGCCTTCGGGAGAACTGCTGAGGGGCAGAGCACAGAAAGAGATGTGAATAAACAACCTTGAAGGAACCAAAATCCAAAAGAGCTCCCAGGGGAGTTCAGACACCAAAGAGCCCTCTTGCAGACCCAGTTAAAGATGTGTACTTGCAGCAAACTCATTCCTTTGGATCTTCGGTGGATCCAGTGGGAATCTTACCAAGAATCAAATCCCAAGTCCCACTAAAATGGAGGAACTGCTCGCACTGAACCCAAATCTAATTCTTGGGTAGAGCAGACATTTCTCCACATAGTACATCCCATCACATTGTGAGGAAGGAACACCTTTGGTATAAGAAAACAGGAAACTCACCAGCTTGTACGTCTGCAGGCCCTGTGGAAGAAAAGAGAGAGATTAATGTAGAGCAGAAGATGTGATCAAATTTAGTTGTTTGTGTACGAAAAGGGGCAGGAGGAAGTAATCCTGGTTCCTTCTTTCCCAAGGAACCATCTCAAGAGCCTGTCTCCAGTTGATTTAAGAGCACCTACTTCCATTTTGTCCTTATCTTATCCCTGCCCCTCTTCCTGGCTACAAAGTAAACATGAATCTTTGGTACAGAACAGACTTTCCAGGGACTGAAAAAGTACCTCTGAATTCTAGAACAGAACAAATTCAAGGTTCACTCTTCCCTTTAGTTTGTCCCAGCTTCCAGGACCCAGGCCAGCTGTTTACCATATTGGTCCCTGGGGTCTAGACAGTAGGATTGGTTTAAATTGCCCCATTTTCAAATGACTTTCACTTACCCAGCTGCAGCAAAAGTGCCAGGGATTGAAGCAGCCATAGACTGCCAGGATATACATTCTGAGACATTTCTGTTTCCAAAGTCATCCCAGAAGTGGGCCAGGGTCCAGTGAGGTTTAGGAGATTAACTTAGAAATGAGGAAGGAAATGATTTCATCGACTCGTGCAGTTGTCATCAGTTTCCAGATTCTATTTCCAAAAACCAGTCAAGAGCAAAACTGACTAGAAGTCGAATCTACCTTACAGATGAGTCTCTCTACCTTGTATCCCCTTGTTGAATGCTTGTGAAAACACCAGGGAGGGCATGTTGCGAGGAGGAAACTGATGGGGGGAAACAGTCGGAAGTAGAGCTGGGCACAGAGCCAGTGTCTTGGGTTCTCAGTTCAGTGCTGTCTTTTGAGTCCTTAGAAATGAGATTTTTAGGAATGTACTCAAAAAAACTGAAAGCAAGATCTCAAAGAGATATTCGCACACTCATGTTCACTGGCAGGACTGTTCACTATAGATAAAGGTTGAGGCAATCCACAACTCTCCCTGTGCTGTTTCACTGGCTAAAATATAAGATAAAGAAACCCTTCTAAATCTGCAACCAATAAGAATCATCGGTAAACAACCACAAAATGGAGTAGTTATCTATAGGAAACAGTCTGTCAATATACCACAGGCAAAGCTGCTGTCCTGCTCCTGCCCTTCGCACCCTGCCTTCCACATGCACAAGTTCTCAAGTGTAAGAAACAATTTTGGTAAAAAATCTGTGGAGCAGGGTGGCACCTGTGGCTCAAAGGAGTAGGATGTCAGCTCCATATGCCGGAGGTGGTGGTTTCAAACCCAGCCCTGGCCAAAAACTGAAAAAAAAAAAAA